GCCTGAAAGCTTTCGAAGGAGCTGATTTAAAACGATCATGTCCAAGAGATTTCTTCCCATAATACTGATTCCTATGTTCTGCAGCTACGATAAGAGTTTCCATTTCGGGATCAATCACACCGTCAGGAGAAAGAAGCTTTCACTACAACAGCAACCACACACTAGCTACCCCCAAGAACACTTGTTTATCAGATCAAAAATCAAAACCTTCACTATTCTTTCAATCGAAGCTCGAATCAAAGGCTGAACAAACCACAAGGCCTTGTTACTAACCCAGAAAGCGTCTCTTCTGAAGAACACGTAATCCGATACCCAGTTCGTCTCCAAAGCTGAATAAACATGGAGAAACCCGAGTTTAAATCATCGCATACACAGAAACAGAGGGAAATCGAAAGAGAAATCAGAACATCAGATCCTGAAATAGCGACAAACATAACAGATTCCATATGAGAAATTCACCTTGGGAGAAAAAGGCTCTTGATGGTGAAGGAAGGCAAAATCTAAGAGGAATTTAAAACGATTCCCGTTAGAAACATACGTAGAGTCTGAGAGATGGTTTCTTCTTCTTCACTAGCGGATCAGTGATCTGTTAGAGGATATCTATTAGGGTTTTTAAGCCTCCATGAAAATGAAGATCCTACGGATCTGAGAAATGAGGTTTGAGAGAAATGGAGAGAGAAGAGGAACAGAGCAGTTGTCTTTAAGTAGCACAGTTACTTCATGATTCTGCTGAAGCGAAAAATTACCTTAATACCCTTTATTATATTCATTGACCATTTTGTCCTTCTCCATTTACTTGATTAATACAAAAGCTTCATTAATTATTTAGTTGGTCAAAAACCAACTTCATTGTTATTGATAAACATCGATTTAAGGATCCTTAAACATCGATTTAAGGATCCTTTGAATGCTTGTTTAGTCTTTCTTTTTTTTCCAAAATCAGTGTATAAGAGAATTCGGTCAAATTTAAGCGTCTTGCTCTTTAATTATTCGTGCATGGGGAAGACCTTAACGTGACATTTATTAAATCCACTTATTTTTTATTCATGCTGGAGCTGAATTAAGTTTCTTATTTATTTTTTTTTTCTTCAAAATCTCCATCTCCATATATTGATATTAATCTCCAAAAAGACTTGGGCTCAAGAACCAGCCAGGAACAAAGCGGTCTATATGAAAAAAACAGTAGCCACGTGCTTGAACACATTTCGCGAGATAGTCAGCCTGGACATTTTTTAATATAACAAAATTTTGTACTTACTGAAAAATATTGATTATGAAATGGGATAATTGATTATGGACCAGCTCTCATCGGTATTCTAATGACAAGATATTGCACTTATTGCAAAAAAGATTCAGCCACTGTATAGTTCCACAAAAGTGGAATCATAACCTATAATTGAAAACCCTACAGGTACATAACCCAATAATATCTGCCTGCAGATTCGGAAATTATTATTGCACTTGATAATTATAGATAGAGAGAGAGAGATCCTCTGGTTTGTTTTACAGTTCCAAAAATAGAATGGTGATAACAATTGACCCCCCCAAAAAAAGAGAAAAGAATTATGATAATGATGGTGACGATGATAACATGATGATGACATGACCAAAGACTTCACTTCATGTCGCATTACCATTAAAAAAGTCAGTACTACCATGATAAGATCAAAGCTCATGAGGAAGATGACCAGGTCACCAACAATGTTTCAAGAATCAAATGTATTGCTTGACTGATTCATCTGATAAGCCAAGAAGTGGAACATAAAGCGAATACCGTAACTAGTTCATTGTTCTACCATCTTAGAACTCAGCCAATCCACTGCAAAATTCAATCTAATCAACGAAAATAAAACAAGGCAACTGCGTAAAAACAGCTTTAGATCCCCCAAAGTCAGAATCTTTCATCTCGAACACACAATATCATATGATACGTAGCAAAAAGGTGGGCACAAATCGGATATCCTAAATCATTGGTTGTTCTACAATCTTAGACAAAGCGAAATGTCCTGCAAATTTTAATCTAATATCATTGAATAAACGTAAATGCATAAAAAAGAGTTGCAGATCACTGAAGGAAGAATCTTGGATCTTCTAACACACAAACACAATCACGTGATCATAGCAGATTAACGCATTAACGGGCAAGTGACAAACAACAGTATCTATGATGCAAAATAAGGAACAGTCTACAAGCAAAAAGCATAAGATAAGTACCCACACGAGCAGCAGCAGCAGGAAGCAAAAGCAGAGCAAATCAATCATCAGCTCCATCAGTCTTTCCAGCACCAAAAGGATCATGATTAGGCCCTAACTCTTCTCCCATATGGCGCTGCACAAGCCGCGAAAGATCAGCCATGACCTTAGCCTCACGCTTCGCCTTCTCCTCATAGTTAAACATAGCCAACGCCCGTTTGTCTTCAGCACTGTAAACCTGGTTTTCCTTTCTGATACGAATAGCATTCATCCTTTGATGCCTACTTCCACTCATCACATAACCAAGATCCTCAAACTTCTGAATCTCCTCGGCGTTAAGACCCACTTCTCCTCTACGTGGGATACGTTTACCTTGCTGCACGTACTGTGCTATGGCGTCTCCTTCACCGGGCCTTAACGCACCACCGTAACTGATGTGTCCTTCAGCTTTAGGCAATGGCATTGGACCCACATCAGCTTCTTCTTCATCATCCGGAGCTGAAGCTTTCTTCTTTGATTCAATCATCTCTCTGAACTTCTTCAACTCCTCCTCATCGAGCTCAGGATCCTTCACCGTTTCTTCTAATTTCGCCTTCGAATCAGTGTCAGAACCATCGCTTTCGGTTTCTGACTTTGCTTTCTTTCCCTTGCTTCGTTTGGAACGAGAACTCGAAGATTTCTTCCGCCTCTTGCTCTTTGACTTGGTATGCTCTTCCCCAGACGACGAAGCGCTAATCTCAGATTCTTCAGCTTTGCTATCTTCATCACTGCTCTCGTCGGAATCGCTGTATCTCCTCTTCCTCCTATGTGCACGTCTTTTCTTACTATTACGGCTGCTTCTGCTTTTCTTCTTCCTTCTTCGTTTCCTATCTTCCTCATCCTCTTCCGAGTTACTCTCACTCCCTTCAGAATCACTATCGCTATCATACGATCTCCTTCGCCTACGCTTGCTCCTTGATCTCTTACTCTTTCTCTTCCTTGATCTCAAATCGTCAGATTCAGATTCCGACTTCCCAGAATCAGATTCGCCTTTCCTCTCTTTACCTTTCGGGTTATCATCCTTTTCCAGAATCTCGTCGGCGTTCTCATCGGACTCCTCGTTCGGATCTCTAGGCGGACTCGGCGTGTTCTCCCAAAAGCAGAACCTCGCCGATTTCCTCATCTTAAGCCGTTTGTTCCTCCTGTACTCCTCGTGACTCAATCCTTTCAACTCTTCATCGGATTCTGAATCAGATCTCCTCCCTCTACGATGATCTCGATCCAAATACCCTTGATTCTTCCCGAACCTCCTTGGAAGCGAGTTCATCGTCATTCTCGATCCCCAAATTCACTCCGACGACGATGAAAGAAAACAAAAATCTTATCAGAGACGATTGGAAGAATTAGGGCTTTGGAGTCAAATATATCCTTGTTTTTTCTTATTTGGGCCGCTAATGGATATGTGTACATTGTGGCCCATACTAAAGCCTAATGAAAAAAAAAAATATATATATATCTCGAACTTTCTACATACAACCAAAGGTATTTTGATTTTATATAAAGCACCCCAAAATTTAATTAGAGTCAATTGAGTCCTCTATCCCTGACGTTTTCAGATGTAAAAAAATCGATATTAGTCGATGAAAATGGCGTCACTGATGACATGGAAGCTTAATTTAGACCACCTCTCCATCAAATATGGGACACTAAGTTTTCCTGGTAAATCATAATCAAGTTGCTATGACTGATTAGTGTTAATGTTTTTCTTTTGTGACTACATATGTAATTTCTCTTAGGTTTGGATTTTGTCTTAAGACTCTAAATAATGATACACTTACAGAGTTTGTTAATCAGTTCAGGAAAAGTTAAAAGAGTCGTTTTTGCAGTCATGATGTACAGAAAAACAGAGTGAAGGATGTGATCTTAAAGCATCTACAAGTTTTTATTATCATTGCAGCAAAAATGTACAGACGCGTAGAAGAAGCATTACAGAAAAACGAGATGACTTACAAAAAAAAAAAAACAGAGACATAATCACAAACACAAAAAGCAAACTCATACACGCACACACAAAAGAGAACCTCTTTGGCCTACAAAAGTTAAAAAACAAGCATTATGCAAACGACCACTTGATGACGTTTCAGGTTACTCTGTTTCTTCTTCTTCTTCTTCTTCTTCTTCTCTCTCTCTCAATCTCTCTTTAGAGATGATTAGGTTAGAGATCACACGCCGTAAGTAGGAGGAGAGTTCCTTGGTCCAGTCTCTGATCCTGCTGCCTTATCGAACGCGTCCGAAGTCGACCGTCTCCTAAACCGAAAGGGTTCCTTTCCTCCTGCGTTTGCTCCGTTAACATCCCAAAGGGTCACTTTTCGTTAGTAACCTCATACATATCAACCATATATATATCTTTCAAACTATAAATCATAAGACTCCAAGGGGATAATATGTTACGAGCAGCCACACAAATTATACGCTACGTATGTAATGACAACATTTGACAAGACGGCTCACCTAATATATTAATCAAGGGACTATAATCAAATAATATCCAAATTGGAGTTGCAAATCATAATGGACAATAGGCGTGTTTATTTCAGGTAAATGCTAATTACAGATTCACTTTTATAAAATAAAGTTTATTTACATTTGTCGACAAAAACCAGACAAAGACTAATTGATACACAACTAAGACTGATAGTAGTACCCTTTAATGTCATCCTATCGGAGGTTTTTTAGCGAATGGACGAAACTAGCCTTACTGAATTAAGTGAGTGTACTACTGTTTCACCCACCCAATACTGTGTAATTAATGGAATCAGAGTGGTCATTTAAAACTCACCAGAGAAAGGAGATACTGGCGGAGTTGAACCGGCCGGCGAAGCCGGAGCTGAACCGCCTTGGTATCCTGGTGGTTTTACTATCATGATGCTGCGTGTCACTTTCATACCCTCTTCCGGCGAGTCCTCACCGTACGATCTCACGCTTCCACCGTCCGATTGATCTAAAAATCACGGCAAGACCCGGGAAAAAAAAACGTCAGATCGACGATCATGCCATGCAATAGTATCCGTTGGTGCTATTTTGTTTTCAATTTAAAGATCTCTAATTTGTTTTAGATATCAGATCGATCATCCGATAATTAGAAAACAGTGATCAGCCACCGCGTACCATTGCCGGAGCTAGGCCGGAAACTGAAGGTATGATGTTTCCGAAGCTTGCCAAGGCCGTTCTCTGGCCGAGGACCAGCGACAGTATCATCCCAGAGATGGTCGAGTAAGCCCATGGGGTTGGGTGCGTTGCGCACGTTATCTCAACCTTAATTGTTTTTTTAAGAATCAGAAAATTTTAGGGCGCACGTTAGGTTTTTTTCACAGATGTTGTTGGGTAGAGAGAGTTTTCTCTCTATAATTGAGGAAGGTAGCGATGGTTTTAAAGGCGATCGGGGAGATCTCATCCGTTGATCTTGGTGTGACGTGGCGCTCGGATCTTAGCTCACGCAAGGTGGATAAGGTCGATTGGAAAGTGGGACCCGACACGATAAGTTCGAGATATTTAGATCGGAGGGTCAGAAATCCATCTCACGTGCCCGCATCTCTCGCTTTCTCTTTATTTACGGTAGTACCCTTACCTTTATCTAGATTATGATCAAGTACCCCTCGATTTACGTTTATTTACGCTGCTACCCCTTCCTAGGATCTTAGCCGCCAGCAGTACATCCTTGAATTTTGACGATTGGGCCATTAATTCATAAAGCCCATAAATAGGCCCAACAGAGTTAATTCTCTATTAATTATTCACCACCAAAAACATTTGTTTCTTTATAGAAAGCACCCCAAAGTTTTGATTAGAGTCAATTGAGTCCTCTATCCTTTATCATCTTCAGAGGATGGGAAGTCTCTCCATCTCCACCGTGTCTCTGTCGCCGTTCCTGCCTCAGACTCAGACCCGAACCAGAGTTTTCAGTACCCGAACGAATCTCCGCTCATTCAATCTCAAACCGAAAAGGGTTTGCACGAAACTTAGAGGTTTGGGCGGAAACCAGAAGGATTCGAGGAGATTCGTCGATGAAAATGGCGCCGTTGATGACATGGAAGGTTACTTAGACCATCTCTCTCTCGAATACGACTCCGTCTGGGACACAAAGCCCTCCTGGTAAAAATCATCTCAATTCAAGTTTACTAATTTGTGTTTTTTGGTTCTTCACTCTCTGTTTACACGATAGTCAAAGACAATACAAATTTAAAGTTTGAATCTTTGTTTCTCTCTGTTTCTCAGGTGTCAGCCATGGACGATAATGCTAACGGGTCTATCAATAGTGGCATGTAGCTGGACAATACTACATTCGGTTTTAGTTTCATCGCTTGCCGTTGGTTTAATTGGCGCTTGGTGGTACATTTTCCTTTATAGCTACCCAAAGGTATGGTTTTTATTTTCCTTCTTCATCACAGGCAATGAATCTGATAAAAGCTTGTAGCACTTACTATTACTACAAGTTCTAACATCTTCAGACAAAGCTGGTTTCTTTGTCACTTTTGAACAAAATCTTGGTCTTGTTCTGATGGGTTTTGTGTTCTTTTGGTTGTTAAATTTGGTTTTTCAGTCGTATTCAGAAATGATTGCTGAAAGAAGGAAAAGAGTAGCTGATGGTTATGAAGATATATACGGCAAAAACAAGAGCTCCTAGAAAATCAATGTTTCTTTGTCGCATAAATCCTTCTTTCTGTTTGTGTCTATAATAACATCATTGTATCTGTTGATCTCAGTTTCATTCACAGATGTTTGGATACAAAGCTCTTGAATTTCAATGATAATAAGATTAAAAACGATGAAAGTCATAAAATATAGCAGCAGATACTCATGTCAAGTGATTACAAGCATAACTGAAATCATAAGGATGAGTAACAACAATAATCCCTTTCTTTCTCTACTCATACCAAACCATGTTTACAGGTCTTTTCCTCTGACGATGTGGACTTTGATTGCGTAAACTAGATTTCGATTGCGCAAGAGCTCACACAAGACGCGATCTTTCTTGTTCAGTTTGTTCTTGTCGCATATGGTGATCCATTTTTTGATACACACACGTTGATCCTTCCATTTTGCTGTTTTCGCCTTTAGTTTTCCCTTTGGGTGGATGTAGTTGATGAATTTTTCAAACTTCAAGCAGTAGTCTTTGACCAATTGTGAATGAACCAACTTTGTATTAAAAGTACACAAAGCCAACAAAAAAAACGTTAATTAAATAATTAAAGTTATAAGCATTATTTTTATTGAAAAATGAAAACTACAGTATCCTTACCAGCTCGTACAACCTGTTCTTCACACCTGTCTCGAAATATACATTATTTGGATCATCAAGATATGCCTCCGGATTTTTGATCTTTCTCACTACTGTAAAAACAAACTCAAAGGAGAAAAACATTTCTGTATAAGCAATCACACAAAGTAATAACCTTGTTAAGTGAAGAAACTAAGTTCATTCAATTAGTTTATTGACCTTTCTCCCTCTTTCGTTTCTCCTTTGTCTGAGCCGGTTCTACAGGATGAGAACATTCACCAACTTCATGAACACCTAAGTCTATTACTTTGGACTTTCCTGAAAAACCTCAAGAGACAGAAACATTTTTTACATAAATATTAAGCATCACACAAATGATCAAAAGCTAGTAGTTTTTTCTTTTACCTTTCTTCTTTGGATTTGTCACATTTCGTTTGACATGAGTCGTTGTGTCTTTGCCATCTGGAGAATAAGAACTGTCACTGTTGGAATCATCTTCAAAACCCATGCGACCAAACGCTTCAGTGTAATCTTCATCAGAGCTCTCCACCACTTCCACTTTCTTCTTTCCTGGAAATATCTCAACAAACAAAAAAAAAAGGAAAGCTTTTAGTCTATATAAAGCAATCACATAACACAAACTCAAGCGATGAAAAGAGCTATCAATTTATCTAAAACCTTTGTTCTTATTGGCCATCTCGAACTCAGAACAAGTATCTGTCTCTGTCTCTGTCTCTTCACTGTCTAGAGAATAATCACTGTCCTCTGTGTCATCATCATCAGAATCCTCCACAGGTTCCTCTTTCGACTTTCCTGGTCAAGAGACAAAACATCGTGTCTATATAACGCAGTTACATAAAACGATCTAAGATAAGGACAAAAAAAGCAGCTAACGAATGTGTTAAACCTTTGTCCTTGCTTCTCGGTACTGTATTGGACGTCTTGAATTCAGAACAAGTGTCTGTGTCATCAATGTCCTCTTCGTCATAAGAATCCACAACTTCCACTTTCGACTTTCCTGGTAAAATCTCAAGAGACAAAACAAACTTGTCTATATGAGCAATCACATTGGAACGAGAAAAAGCTAAAGAATGTGTTAAATTAACCTTTGTTCTTGCTTCTTGGAATTGCAGTGACCTTCTCGGATTCAGAACTAGTGTCTGTGTCATCGCTGCTTAGAGAAAGGATACTGTCTGCTACCTCCTCCTCCACTTCAGCGACTGCTCTAATCTCTTTGCATCCAGTGAGGCCATAGATACTGACCTCGAAAGTGCGGTCTCCATCATACACGAAGGTCAAAAAGTCTCCATCGATAAGAGAGTTATCCTTAACGAATTTGGGCCAGCCTTGTTCAAAATACAGCTCCTCTTCCTTCAGCTTCATCGCTACTTTCCAAACGCATCCACCAGTGCCTTGGAGAATCGCCGTTTTGGGCAAAAGACGTGGGAGTTCATTGTAGTATGCAATGGGGATCAGCTGCACAACAAGCACCAAAATGTTTAGCACAAAGCTAATAACTTGAAAACAACAACAGTCAAGAGATAAAGCAACGTACGATACAAAACAGAGACTTTGATGTCCAAATCAGAAAGAAACCACTCTCTACAACATCTTTACTTTAGCTAAAAAATATGAAAATTTTGCAACTTTACCACTCAAAACAGAGGAAAGAAGCAGAGCAAAAACCCCAAGGAAGACAAGCAAAAAAGAAAACCAGAAACGAGATTTTCTACACAAACGCAAATGACAGGATTTGCAGTTTAAGAAGAGACCAAAACGATAACAAAGCTACAAAATGTTTATCACAAAGCTAATAACTCGAAAACAGCAACACTCAAGAGATAAAGCAACGTACGACACAAAGCAGAGACTTTGAAATCAAATCAGAAAGAAACCACTATCTACAACATTTACTTTAGCAAAAAAATGTAAAGTTAGCAACTTTACTACTCAAAACAGAGTAAAAGAAGCAAAAGAGATGAAACAGAGCAAAAACCTCAAGGAAGACAAGCGAAAAAAGAAAACCAGGAAAAGAGATATCTATCTATACAAACGCAAATGACAGGATTTGCAGTTTAAGAAGAGACCGAAACGATAATAAAGCTACAGGAGAGAAAATATATTACCATGGAATCGGAGCTAAAGTGGGAGATGAAAACTTTAAAGAAACGCGGAGGAGTGGTATCAGTGTCAGCCATTGCAAGAGGATGTTGGAACTATGTGTGTGAGAGAGAAGACAGATTCTTCAGTTAAATAGGGAACAGAGAGAAGAGAGCGTAAAGAGAGAAAACAATTATTTTGTTAAAAAAAGAAGAAGAGAAAAACCAATAATTGCTACTAAAATTATGGTCAAAGAAAGTACTTGCATCTCTTCTCATCACGGATTCCCTTGCCGTTATAACCGCAGGGTACTCGTATGTCCCTCTGACTTGATGTTTCAGACCCAACAGTTAATAGCAGAATAAAGTATAGAAAAGTAATTTAGTTTTGTTTTTTGGTGCGAAAAAAAAGTAATTTAGTAGGAGTTATTAGATCTTATATTTTGGTGGATTTATAAATCTTCTTTGGATTTGATAAATTTATTGATTTCAAAATCAGCAAAATGAAAAAAAATAAAATCTACTCAAATACCAAGGTTAGACTTTGTATTTGAGTCTTTGTATTTTAGTCATGAAAATCCTTCCAAATCCATTCAAATTCAATTAAAACTCAAATTTTTATAATATTTAGATTCTAAAATGATAGAACCAATAACACTGTATTTCATTATGAATTTTAAAATCATAGAACCAATAACACTGTATTTTAATATAAATTTTAAAATACAAGAATCAATAACACTAAATTTGGTTTGGATTCTCAAATCCATTAAAATACAAGAACCAATAACACCTCCTTAGTTCAGTAAAATCAATCAATCCTTACATGTGTTTTTGATTCATTCATTGTTTTTTTTTTTGACATTGTTTTTCTCTTTTCTTCAATTAATTTTATGTATCTATTGTGAAATGCTCATTTGTAAAAGAAATATCTACCAATTAAACATTATCTACTTATGTATGAAATGAAAACCACATCATGATGAGTTTTTAAAGTTATTAGGTATTTACCCGCGCTATGCTGGAGGATATTTTTCTAAATTTTGTATATATTTCTAACATAATAAAATTATTTTTATAATATTAATGAGTATTATATTTTTTTTATTAGATTAAGTTATGTATTAATATGTTTTAAATCTGAATAAACATTACATATTTTTTATTTTTTTATTTTTCAAAATTATAATTTGCTTTTAAATTTAGTTAGCTAACTAATTATAAATATATATATAAGAATAAAATATATAAAAATAAAGCAATACATTTTAGTACATTCATGCTAATGGCAAATGTAATCTATTATCTTCAATAAATTGCCACTTGATCCTCCTTTGTAATTATATAAAGCAAAATACAATTTAAAAAAAAAGATTTATTAATTAATATGATTATTTTAAATTATAAAATTTTATTTATTTATCAAATATTTTATTATAAACATATGTTTCTAAAACTACCAAACTATAATCAATAACATTCATATCAAAACCATTGCTATTGCTTTAGAACTAAATAGAAAATTATGTTTGAACTCTTAAAATATCGTTTTAGTTAAAATTAAATAATTAAATTTTGGTTACTGTAAACATACATTAACTTGGAAATTTAGCACAGAGAAATTTCATCTTCTTACAAAAATCGAGAAATCACATTTCCCAGCAAAACAAAAAAAAACTTTATTTTCCCATTAAACTGAGAAATCGTCTATTTCCGCCAAAACCAAAAAATTTATTTTCTCGTCAAACCTAAAAACTAAAATTTTATTTTCCCGCGAGAACCTGTGTTTTTCCACCAAAGCCGAGAAATTACATTTTTTCACAAAAACCAAAAATTTTCATCTTCATGCAAAAACCAAAAAAAAAATTGTATTTTCCCGCTAAAATCGAAAAATTTATTTTTCATGCGAAAACTGAGAAATCGTCTATTCCTGCCAAAAAAAAAATCATTTTCTCGTCAAGCCCATAATCACGCTTTCCTACAAAAACAAATAAACTACAATTTCTTGCGAAAACCAAAAATTGCATTATCTCCTGTGAAATTGTGTTTTCCTGCGAAAACTAAGAAATTGTTATGTTTTTATCGGTTCAAATTTTTGCTGGTGTGTGAGCTTCTTATAACATAAAACTTTTTGCATTGTTGTCATGGAAGCATAGTTGATGCTGAACCTACACTTTTTCAATCATATACGTCTATGTCAAACAAATAGATAGCTAGAATTTTTTATTATTTATTTGTTGTTATTTATTATTTAGATTTGGTTTTGGCAAAAAAAAGAAAACAATGATTTAATTTATTTATTTATTTTTATTTATTATTTGGGTTAGGATTTGGAAAATAAAATAAAAGAATAATTTTTTATTTGCTGTTATTAATTATTTGGGTTTGGGTTTGGTAAAAAATAAAACAAAAATTACTAGAAAAAATATTTAAGTTTTTAATGGGTTTAAGTTTAAAAATTAAAATAAATAGATGAAATGTATTAATAAAATGTTTTGATTAATGATTATTTTTGCTGAGGTGTCATGTTTATAAAGCTTCAAAAAGTTGAGGTGTCAAGATATGGAGAGATTTTAGTGTTATTGTTGTATTGATTAGAAATTTTACAAAAGGAAATGGATGTCAGGTTTTATTAATTTTTAAAGTTATTCAGTTTTTAAAACCTTGACATTCGTGATGATTTTTCAGAGGCAACCGATATAAGTTGTAGTACTAAAAATTACAGTGAAAGACCAAAAAATATGAAGAGTACAAAAGTAAGAACAATTCGGTTTCAAGTTCTTAAACCAATACAAATACCGAACCGAACCGAAGGGTAAAACCGTAGTTCAACAATGGTCATGGTAAGACATATATATATACATACAGTATATGTATATATTGGTACGCTTCTTCAACTTAATCCGAACGAATATCGCTTAATCCGACCCGACGACGGCGATGCCAAGCGGAGGCAACGGAGTCGGCAACGGTGCCGTTAACGCAGGTTCCGCCGGTAACGTAGTAGGCACAAGCGGAAATGTTCCGACTTATAACCCTTACCGTCACCTGAAAACCCTAGAAGGTCACACGGCGGCGATCTCTTGCGTCAAATTCTCCAACGACGGGAACCTTCTCGCCTCAGCTTCCGTCGACAAGACGATGATCCTCTGGTCGGCGACGAATTACTCTCTTATCCATCGGTACGAAGGTCACGCCAGTGGTATCTCCGACCTAGCCTGGTCCTCCGACTCGCACTACACTTGCTCCGCCTCCGACGACTGCACGCTTCGAATCTGGGACGCTCGAGCTCCCTACGAGTGCCTCAAGGTGCTTAGAGGCCACACCAACTTCGTCTTCTGCGTCAATTTCAACCCTCCGTCGAATCTGATTGTGTCCGGTTCGTTCGACGAGACGATCCGGATCTGGGAGGTGAAAACCGGTAAGTGCGTTCGCGTGATCAAAGCTCACTCCATGCCGGTCTCGAGCGTGCATTTCAATCGGGACGGATCGTTGATTGTTTCGGGAAGCCACGACGGTTCTTGCAAAATCTGGGATGCGAAGGAAGGAACTTGCTTGAAGACTCTGATTGATGATAAATCTCCTGCTGTCTCCTTCGCCAAGTTCTCTCCTAATGGAAAATTCATCCTCGTTGCCACTCTCGACAGTACTCTCGTAAGTTGACGAATCCAATTCCCAAAATCTTCTTGTTAGCTTAATTTGTGGATCACTTCGGTTTCCCAAGTCCATGTAGGCTTGAATCTTGATGAGTTCTTGTTGGCTTAAACTGTGATGAATTCTGGAATTTGAATTGAAGAACGATAGAATATTTGGTTTGAATGAGATAATTTAGATTCTGACTTCACGTGTTTTTGTCTTTGATGGGTTCTTGCATTAGCCTTTTCTGTTTGGTCCGGAGAACATTTTCTGATACAGAGCAAATGTAGAATCATGAGACTAGTGTAATGCTCTTTGACTAAAGGTTTCATCTTTTGATTCCATGTAGTCTTGAATCTTGATGACTTCTTGTTGGCTTAAACTGTGATGAATTCTGGAAATGAATTGAAGTACATGTAGAATATTGGTTTGAGTGATGATCACTTATGTTCTGAATTCGCTTGATGGGTTCTTGCGTTAGTCTTCTGTGTTTGAAACTGAGACTGAAAACAGAGCAAATGTAGAATCTTGTGACTAGTGTAATGCTCTTTTTGACTAAAGATTTCATCTTTTTTGATTTTTGGGTAAAACCAATGCAGAAGTTGACGAATCCAATCCAAGAAACTTCTTGTTAGCTTAATCTGTGAATCATATATGGATATGAATTGAAGAACTGTAGAATTTGGTTTCGAATGATCACTTAGGTTTCTCAATTCCACGTAGTCTTGAATCTTGATGGGTTCTTGCATTAGTCTTCTTCTGTGTTTGATCCTGAGACTG